GGCCCAAAATTACAAAAAGGGATATTACATACTATATGTCGTCAGCTCAGACATAAAAGCAAAGGCAAGGAGCAGGAAGGTGGGCATTCATTGTCTACAGTGGCTGCCTGCTGAGGAACTGTTGCACGTGCTGAAGCCCTGCTTCTTGGGAGTGGCTGACCATTGCTGTTAATGGGAAGTAGAGAATAAACCCTGCTGTCTTTCCCTTTGCTTTTGTGCACATAAGCTTTCACTTTGCTTCTGCTTTAATAAACTGCCTTATCCCAACCCATGAGTTGTTTTCCATCTTACTCTCTCCCCAGTCCAGCTGGGAAGGGGAGTGACAGAGAGGCTGGGTGGGCACCTGGTGTCCAGCCAAGGTCAACTCATCACAAGTATCTAGGAAAAATCAAATGAAAACTCAGTGCACAGAAATAACCCACCAAAGTTATGACAGAATGTTATAGTTATGATAGAATGATAGTTCTCTGCCAGTACGGAGGAGCTGGCTAGTTAAGATCTTTTCTCTTAACTCACACTTTGCTCAGATGAGCACAAATGCTTCTGCTTCAGTCTAAAGTTGACAGTTTCTGGAAAGGCTAAGCAACAGACTTCTCTACAGGGCCAGAAAAAGGAATGTGGTCAGTATTTTACTACCAGTAACCTAAACCTTATGGGAAACTGCACCTTTACAGTTTACTGTCTGCTTCTGCAAAACTCTTATGCTAGACTTTAGAGGTTACTAAACACCAATTTATTTAAATCAATGACCTCAGCGAGAGTCATTAAGAATAATGGTAATACTGCCAATGTACACTGATTTACCCAAGCTGAGAATACAGCATGCCAAAACAATTTACAAATCATAAACATAAAGTATTGTATTCTCTTATAAATTTCCATAATGTTTAAATCAGATAATATTTAAACTTTCAGTTCTATGCAGCACAGAAACTAGCGAGTTTATATCACACCATGTACACGTGATATTAATGTAAGAAGAATCACGTATCTGACAAAAATGTAAGGAACAAAACCATTATATTTCTTGAGAAAGGCCAGAGAAGAGGATTAAAGAGGTTACAAATCAGCAGGGTTGTCCATTTCAGGTTTTCTGTTCTGAAGTAGTCTTTAGATTTGATGTAGAAAGGCGGTTTCAACTTGCTTTGAGCACCTGTACAATGATAAAATCATAAATATATTTACAAATATAAATTACAGAATTTGAGGTTCTGTTCTCAAGGGATCCAGAGTTCTTTGGTATTACTTATGGACCACTAATGCATATCTTAATCCTTAAAAAGGAGGGAATAATATTCTGCCTTTGCAACAGAATCCATAATAAGAATCTCAGGGTGCTTTACAAACATTAACTGATTAATCCTCCCCATAGTTCAGAAAGCAGTTACTGTTAATGTAATCATTAAAAACTGAGACACAGATAGAGAAGGTCTAAATTTTGCAATGGGCTAAGAGAAACGTGGGAAATTATTTTTCTTTTTTGGTCTTTTTAAAAGATGTGTCAAAGAACTTGCAGGAGCTCTTCTAATCATGTGACATGGAGCATTCTCATATTACAAGAGGAAATGCTGGCATATGATATCCTTGAAGCTAGCTTTCCCTGATGGCAGAAGAAATATAAAAATTGAAACAATTTATTTACTATCATCACAATTTCATACAATTTTTTTGAGCATTTTGATAGACTTTCCTAAATGCAGTAATCTCTTGGATGAATAATAATGTACCCTACAAAATGGAATTTTCTCACATCTGCTAGTAAAATGTACTTGTTTCCATGTGGGCTTAGTTGAATAGACTGTATTCCCACACAACAGAATAAGTAAATGCTGTTATTAAGCAAAATGTGTATAACATTTTTTATTGCAATAAGAGGCAATAGTGTAGAATTGAGCTGTGCAAATTAAATTAAACACTTTTGAACAATAAGTGGTTCATTATATCCATTTATTTTTATAATATATCAATTTTGTAGAATTTTAAATACTTAATGCTACTATTCTAGTAATTTCCACTAGAAAAACTCATACAGCCGGTGTTCAGAAAGCTTAGAAAGTTCGCTGCCATTACTCTACTGCTCTCCAGATGAAACCCAAGACATAATGCTGCTATGAAACATCTAGTCTCTGCAGATCCATCTATTATCAGCATAGAAACTAACATACCTAATCTCTTCATCACTGAAATGAGGTAACATAGCATTTGGAGTGAGTCCACACTTCATATCAGAATTTCATTCTGTCTATGATTTTCTTGGTATGTTCACATGTGATCAGAAGGCAGCTACAACAATAATTCTCATTCAAGTTGCTTTCTATTCACAAAAACATTAGAAGATACTATACTATTTCTTTTAGCTTTTACTATTCAAGAAAAATAATAAAAAATTAATCCTAAGATCCAAACTTAAGAAGTAAAGTACAAATTGACCAAAGAAAAGGTTATTAACAATTTCTTCCTTCTCTCTCTCTCTCTCTCTCTCTCTCTCTCAATGTCCAAATTTCACAGCAGAATTACAGTTGTGGAACTGGGGGAAAATGCAGGTTTAAGGGTTGGGTACAGAACAAAAAACAGAGAACAGATCTTTTGCTTTTAACTCAAACTATTTAGAAGGAAGAAAAGTGCCAGTCTTTTATCTTAATACAGATCAGTCAGCTTGAAGGAGCATCTCTGTGATCTCACAAGAAAAACAAATCAACATGTTTAAGCACTTAATTTTTCCCTGAACCAGACCTATTTTCCCTCATATCCCTATGGTTTTGTCTCTCGCAACATATGACAATTTTTTTCTCTCTCTGGAGCATTGCCAGAATTCATCCTTGCCTTCATCCTGCCTATGCTGACACTTCATTAATTCTTTAATGGTATTAACATTTTACTTCTTCCTACTGGATCTACATTCTGTGAAATGAACCACTGGTAAAAAATTCCTTTTTTTCACCTTTTGGAAAATCAAAGAATGAAAAAGCTAAATAAGGGGAGGGGGTCAGTGGGGGTGGTGTGTTTGTTCAACAGAGCTGCAGTGTCTGTGTAATGCACCCATACACAAATGTACCCATAACTTCCCCTTAATTCATTCTTCTTTTCTTCTTGTCTGTGCAATTTTCCAGCCTGGAGTCTGCAGAATTATCAGCTTTCCATTTCCATTTTTCGACATGAAAATGAAGAATGTTAAGTGTCTTCTCCATTTCCTACCAAGTTAAGTGCAAACACCTACATTGTTCTGCTTTTAATGGCTTCCATGACTGATGATGAACAGATGGCAAGATTTGGTTAAGTCTTAGAGAACCAGAATGTTGATTAATAATAGAACAAATCTGGCATAGATCTAACATCCAGTTTCTCTTTGCTTTTTTGTCCAGTGCTTTATCTTATTTTAAATCTACCTTCTGAACCTCTTTTTAGATTGTCTCATTTTAATTCTGAGTAATCAATTCTGTTCTGAACATTTCCCTGTCTTGGATTTTTCTTGCTGTAATGTGTAACAACATCAGGGGCCAGATCTTGGACTATATGACCCTGATGGAACACAAGCAGTTAAATAAAATGTAAAAGTATGCAGCGTGACTATTAAATGCTTTTCTGATTTTTTTTTCATTGCTGTTGGCCTGTTTTTAGAGTAGAGGTATAATTAAAAGTCATTTTATTATAGATGTGCAAAAAAACAAATCTTCCCAGCTGCAAGCAATGATTCTCTCCACTGAAATACACCTGGCTAATAGGATACAATCTACTAGCATGGAAGAGGAAATACAGCCAGTTCTCTTTTTTCTCTCTTTCTCAGAAATACTTGTTCATTAGAATTATGTGCAAAACATTGGTTTGACCTGAGGTTCTACCTCTCAACACAACATCTAAACATGTAGTGTTCCTTCCTGGGTGAAAATGAGAGCAGCTTAATTGCCCTTAATGTTCTTCTCTTGTCAGGCTGAATTCAATTACATCTTTCTAATCTGAGACCTATGCAAAGCACAGGAAGAGATCAGCTTTGGCACAAGGAGTAATGAGAGACTTACCACATTACTAGTGTTTACTCAGATCTGAGTAGATAAACTCAATGTTTCCTAGAAGGTGTAAAGATATTTTCACTCCACATTGTCTTAAAAGCTCACACATGATTCTAGCAGTGTATTTTTCTTAAGATATGAACCACAGAATGTATAACGTGAAGAATTCTCTTCCAAATTTTAGCCATACTCTACATTACAGATGCTGGGCCATGCTATTAGCAGAAACTCTTGAAGGTGTTCCAGCATACTTTCCCAGAAACGTTCCTGCCAGTGTGAGTATCAACTTTGCCACTCTTTGACATGGAGAGAATGTACTTTTCCAAGAAGACAGATATTTTGGCTAATGCAGAGCTGTGAATTGAAGACCTTGGATTTTATTTCATCAGTCCCTCTGCAGAAGCTTTTCACAGCCTGATACTGTCAGCTGGGCTAGCCAAGAGTGCTCTCCATACACTCAGGTGGACTGTTGCCAGGCTCCCAGAGGAAAACAAGGTAGGATTTCTTTTCTATTTTCATTCACCTCCATGAAATTAGAAATTTCAGTCTCTGCTTAGGCTTGATACAATTCCAGTTGGATATAAGAAAAAGGCATGGTTTAGCTGAACTATTCATCCACCTTTAACAAAGTCTTTCAAATTATCATCACTACAATTAAAAATATGGAATGGGCTTTAAATAAATTTAAACCAGAGGCAGAGATGCAAAAGAACAACATTATTTTCTGTGGGTGTTGGCTGTGACAGAGCAGCTTTGAGGTTCATACTTGCATGTACTGTATATATAGGATTGTCTTACATATGTTTCCTAGGATTAAACTCGGGAAACATTTTCATTTTGCATAAAGCAGTGTTTATGAGAATACCTAGGGAATCCTTAGGTGATTCTGTTAATCCGCAAGAGCCCACTCTGCAACAGAACTTTGACATTACAACATTGAGCCTTATACTATGTTGAAGTTTCTTGTGTCATCTAACAGAACCCCAAATTACATTCTCAGATTCCTCCTGATGGACAATTTATTGATATGTACCAACAACATTCAGAGCAGCCACTAACTTGGCATGCAGCTGCCTAAGGTAACCAGCTCTATGTCAATACCAGAGTCCTTATTTCTTAAAACAGACCTAGATACCAACTCCATTAGCCCTCAGTTGCCTTTCCTTCCACCCACAGGTGGTGAATCTTCTCTGTAGTTCCTAATTTCAGAAAAAAAAAAAAAAAGGTGGAGATGGTAGCAGTGGTTCTGTGTCCTCTAAAGCACTCTACTGAATAATTAAAAAACCACAACTCCGCTTCAAATCCCTTGCCTGCTGATTTCAGGGTATGAACCAACACTGAAGACTTATCAGAAAATATTTTGTGTCTGTTACACAGTAGAATATGCTCTGTAATAACTCCTCTAACTAGACCTCAGCAGCCTGTAGCTGAGAATTCCCTTGAAATGCTGACATGCACAAAAATCACCAGAAATGAAACTGAGTGAGGTTTTTGATAACTTTGAGTTTTCTGGTTCTTTAATGGCCAAATATCTGAAGATGAGACAGATGAGTATCTGCTTTTCCTCAAAGGTGGATTCAGTGCTCAAGTTACCCTATTTCAGTTAAGAAGTGAATTTTTATCTGTATTAAATACAAAATATTATAGAATTATTATGTTATTATAATACCATAATCCATCATTGGAATGGGCTGACCAGGAAGGTGGTGGATTCTCCGTCCCTGGAGGTATTTAAGAAGAGACTGGATATGGCACTTAGTGCCATAGTCTATTAACTGTGGTAGTAGTGGATCAAGGGTTGGACTTGATATCTAAGAGTTCCTTTCCAACCCACCTGATTCTATGATTCCGTGATTCTATGATTCCATATAGAAAGCTGGGGAAGAGAGCGGTCTCAATGTTGCAAAAACTATCACATGAAGTTCAACCAATACTTTGATAGGTATGATGGAGTTTTTACTTCTGTCAGGTTCTGGCCGAGACACTCTTACACTGGTGATTTGGATTTCTCTGTCATACTCTTCAGATTTATTTTAGGTGTATAAATATATGTGTAGGTAAACAATATTTTGACAAAAAGTTGACTCAGATGTTTTCCAGAATTATAATCTTCCAAGTCATCATTTATGGAATACATATTTTAAGAACAGAAAACTTGTGTGAAATATATTGCAGTCTTATGATTATTTGTTTAAAATACTGGTGATTATAAGCAATTTCTTTTTTAAAATTTGATTTTATGTTTTATTGAAGTAATAACTACCCTCCATGGTCGAATAAGGAGACTATATGAGCTCTGATAAAATAAGATTGAACATCCCTTTGCAAAAAAAAAGGAGTTTCTATCCTTCTGCATTTAATGAATTTAGACTCGCAGATCTGCAATGAGAGAATCACATCCACTTCTAATAAAATAATCCTTATTCAGATGTCTACGCCCTGTTAGAGGTTGGATGCTTTTTATTTTATTTGCTCAACACCAGGTATTGAGCAATTTGGGTTAACATAGCTTTTCCTTCTGAAGCTACTGACTTTCAAAAAAACCAAAGAGACAACAAGCAAACCAAACAAAACACAAAAATGATAGCAAAACCACTACTTGGCCACTTTTGCCCTATCAGCTGTGGAGTGCACAACAAGCAGTCGTTGTACAGTATTGTTTTCTACCCATCACAGCGCAAAAAGCTCTGATAAATTGGAACAATAAAGGCTTCAAGCATTACAATCAATACTTAATGGAATAATGTAAATCCAGCTTTGTATGACTTGTGGATTGTGTTCTCTTGCAAAGAGCAAAAGATTAATGCACAGCAGTAGAAGTGCATCTTTTTTTTTCCCTGCAGTCTGAACTATAAGAGAAACACAATAATGTGCTAAAGTTGCTTTGCTTGTATTGTGGAGTTATTACTATTTTTTTCAGCCTAGTTTAAAAGGAGCCAGAGAGTCGTTGTGTCTCCCAGAGCTCTGTAAAAACCAAGTTAATGGTATTCTCAGTCTTTAGACACATTCACACATCTTCCATCTGGTTGGGAAGAAAAAAACCCTAGATTTCAATAACAAAAATTGTACAGATCTGCCTTTAGGCAACAGAAAATGCCTATGATAAGGGAATAGCCATGAAGTGTGAAGGAGTATTTAGATCTTAGGGTTTATTGACTGGAGACTGTAAAGGAGATGTGAAGTATTTGTGAAAAATCCTAAATAAAAGAGCTTGAATAACATATAATGTGGGTAAGAAAATGTGCTAGAAAGGAATGCAATTGTCACTAAAGAACATGGTAAGAGGGGGTGGGATGGAAGAAATGAAGGACAAGAATGAAGATAAGCAACATCCTGCATTCAGGGCTTGGTTCAGGCAGTATACTCTGTTCTGCAATTCAGTCAATTAGGTATGTTACTATCAGAGAGAATAACACTCAAAATGTACAAAAAAACTTTTTTTTCTCCTTGTCTCTATCAGGTTGTATTTTGACTCCAAATCAGGAAAAAATCAAACTCAAGAGACAGTGAAAATGTCAGAAACAGCAAAGAGAAATCATATTTTTAATGTCCACTCCATGCATTCAAGAGACATTACTGTTTAGAAAATCCATTTGACAAAAATGACAACTGCAAAGCATATAGAATTGGGTTTTGAAGTTAAACAATAGATCAGGAAGAATGAACAAAGATTTTGTTATAACCTTTATGTTTTGGATGCAAAGAGGCTTACTGGAAATATTATGCTTGGTCACATGCATTCCAATATCAGGCCCAAAGCCTCTTGGAAGATTTGGGCAAAGTTTCTTCTTTTTTTTTTTTTTTTTTCCTTTCTGCCTTTGCTGTTTAAATGATGAGAAACATCATTTTTCCACTTACATGAATAGAAGATAAGCATAGAGGTATGCTATATAAGGCTTAGTTTCCTGCTTTTCCAGGAAACATAACAAATATCTTTGTTCAACTTTTAAAGCACATAATGAAAACAGGTATTTTTTTCTTTTGTTTTCACTATTGCCACTGGTAACCTGACAGCAATAAAGTTAGTAGTTATCTAAATCCTAGCACAAAATTTATTTGTGGACTGCTCACAAAAATTTCATTTTATACTAATGTTAACCTTTATGTGACCTTTAGCTTTGCAGGAGTTCCCTCCTAGGTGTTGATCTCCGCAATGTTCTTGTGGACTGGGATCATGCCTCTTTTAGGCTAGAAGAGTTAGAGTATTCCAGTCCTCCAAAAGGCAGCCCCTTTATTCCAGAAGCCTTTCTACATACCCATTTTTGTGCCAGTCATCTTTTCTGAGGAAAAGAAGCTAAAACTGTCATTTCTGTGTTTCAGACATGGAACACAGAACAATATGATCAGAAATTCTGCACTGGGGTATTAAGGATGAAAAAAAGAAATTGATCAGAATAGTCTGGAAGTTTCTGTTCATTGCTTATTCATAGATCCAAGTCTTAGCTGTTTTTTAAAAAATAAATTAAATTTTTTAACTTAAACCCAACAAACCCTAAAGCCTAAGTTTTATATGACCTGACTGTTAGTATTCAGGAATGATGTTTAGGAGAAAAATCAATACTTTCATAAAAATTTTAGTTCAATCTTTGGTAGCATGAAAAAAAGAAAATAAAACATTAGAAATTATTTTAAAAGCGGTAAAGAAATAACAAAACAAAAACCAGAGAAAATAATTAAGCCACTGTACAGATCAATGGCATGTCTGCCTCTTGAATACCACGAGGTACTAAACTTTCTATCTCAGAAAGTGAATAAAAGACCTAGAAAATATTCAAAGGCAGCAAGAAAGCTGATCAAAGCCTGCAGCACCAAAGAACAATTAAATAGGCTTATGCTCATCAGCCTGAAATAGATGCAAATGAGAGTGGCTGTGATAAAGTTTTATAAAATCATGGGTGGCAGAAAGGTAGTGGAAATGGAAGGGCTAGTAAAGAAACAGGAATAACATTTCCTTCTGTCTGGGAGGCTGAAGCAAGATCACATCCTGCAGAGGATATGCTGTACATACACCACCTTGTGCTGTGCTAGAGTTTTTCCCCTTCTCCTGTAGGTGTGGCTATGGGTAAAGTGAGATGGGATACAGCAAGGCAATCCAGAGTCTGTAGAGATAAAATTATGCAAAAGCATTGTCTTACTACGAATACCTTGCTACCAAGGCATTAGCTGCAAGGTCAGCCATTCTTCCTGTCTATACCTTCATGCCACTACAGAGCTTCATAGAGATGAAGTTTATTCTGCCCACAGACACTTGACTAGTATGCTTCAAACGTCTGAAAACAACACTGACGTTAATATAGTAATAGAAGATACAAAGTAAAATATCTCATAAATATCTGATGAGAATTAACTCAGAGACTTCTATGGTCAGAGTAAGATCTCTATAGATATCCAACCAAAAAAGTTTGAAGAAAAGATAATTTTCAAGTATTAACACTGCCATATTATTCAGCAAAGAAGTTGAAAACATGGCCTACTTCAGTTGCTGACCTAATATAACAAAAAGTCGTCTCATGGGACAGACTTTTAGTGACTCTGAGGACAGAGCATAAGAAAGAGATGAGGGATGAAATCCTACCATATGTTATAACATATGTACCATACCATTTAATGCTTGCACTGCAATGAATTAATGTCAACATCAAGCTCTCCAATTTAAGTATACCATGATAAATCCCAAACTACATTTTACACAGAAAACAACCACATTTATATAAAAAAAGCCTGGAGAGTTGCTGAATACTATTACTCTTCTGAAAACCTAATAACACACCTAAGTACTATGTTTTAATTTTAAGATCTGACTGCTTTCTATTACAAATGACACTAATGTTATAGCATCTGATGGTAGAAACTGCATCAGGTAAGACACCCTGTCAGAGGAAGCAGCAAGGCCATGCAGTGCCTGGCAGAAAGGGAAAGAATGTAAATAAGAGGTGAACATCCAATCATATGTGAAGGCTCGTGGTAAATATAGATAACAGAGCTAAGAAAAGTGTTAGTATGTAAGATTCTACGGAGACAGTGTATGAGTGCAGCTGTGTGAAGACAATGTAATATTCTGGATAAAGAGAATAAAAGCTGAATTTAGGCCATCATCATCTAATGCCCAGTTTTATTTACTTGACCATCCTCATATTTAATACGACAATACCCTATATATCTTTGTATAATTTTCAACAGGGCCTAGATGAATTATTATTATTTACCATTGGTGCCCAAAGGCCCCTTCTAGCCCGGAGACACACTGCTTTTGTTATATTATAAAGAGTAGGCAAACTCTGGTCCTACCCAAAAGAATTTACAATCAAAGACTATTTAAAGACTTTACAGTGTGCTTAAATTCAGCTCAAGAGGTTTAACTGACTTCACAAATACTGCAGATTTCTCAGTATTAAGTTCATAGAAAGATTTTTGTGGGACATGAACTCAAGACCTCATCCAGCACAGATCATCTGGGTTTGTCTACAAAATCATGCTACAAATATGTAGAGCATGAAATGGGAATTCATTTAAACCTATTTGGAAATGAAAAGAAATTACATCTTATATATATTTTATGGAAATACTGTAAAAGGGCATTTCTCAAACTGTTCCTTGCGGCTGAGGTTTGTCAGGATTTTGAGAACCCTTAGAAGTCAACTTCCTTGCTTTGTAACAAAACAAAACAAAATTGAACAAAAGTATAGTATGCCATTTTTTAAAAAAAAAAAGTTGTCAATTTAATATGTTAAATCATTGGGTTAAAGAAATGTAAACAAAACCAGCCAAGAATTCATTGGAAAACTGTTTGAGAAGGCTAGGTTTTGTTTTTATAGCCATGAGTGTAAGTTCCATGTGAAATCAACTACAAATACCACATGAAGTCATACTGAAACAATAGTAGGCTAGAATTTAGAAGAGGTTATATCTCTGTGAAGAGCTGTTTCGCAGAAATGATTTAACATATTGTAACTTTCAAGAATAGGGAATGTGCATAAGGCCTGTGTACAGTCACAAGTTTGGAGAGGAATGTGTGGGGTGGGATGAGTGATCAGAGGAGCAAGAAGCTGATTGCTTCTTTATATCCCCCTGTCGCTGATAATTTTCCTGGCATGTCTCTTCATTACATTTCTCAAATACAGAAGCAGCTAAGTTTTACCAATATAAATTTCACCAGTGTGAATTTCACCAATGTTACCTCAGGTGGTAAACTGCAGAAATTGGAGAAAAAGCTGTCCTTTAACATCTAACTTACAGTAACTCACACTGAATTTGTACCACTGTCAAATCTCAAAATATGAACTATGTATTTTTCTATCATTCAATACGTTTGAGAAACAAGAGGCAGTCCTACTTCTTTGTCACTGCCAATGTGCAACGAAGATAATTTTGTGCACTTTGTACAAAGGTACATATTTCAAAACTCGCTACATATGTAGCACATTAACAGGTAGTGGCACAACAACAGAAAAATAAAGAAAAACACAGAAAGAAGCAGGGGCTCCAATGTCGTAATTACCAAGACCAGCTTAGTTCTATGCTTATTCTGTGCCTCACTCTCCCAGTTACAGGCTATATTTTCTAAATTAATATTTACAAAACCTCTGTTTTGGTGATGGTCAGTTAACTCTTTTTCAGTTACGGAAATGCTAAGTGCTCTTATTAAGCCTTCAGGATAGGATAATACCGTATATTTGTCTCCCCTTCACGTGGATTTAACACAGTGAAAACTATCCATATGTTACAACATATGGCATAATTCCAGTATCTCTTCATATACCTGATTCCTCATTCTTAGTGTAAACAAATGGTTGTTTCACATGGGGATATTGAACTAAATTGGGCCACAGACTGAATGTATTTGGCTAGAGCAGGTTGATGAGAGAAAACTGAGAAATCAAAACATACAACAATTTCTTTTTCACCTTAAACAAAAAAAAAAATATATTACAATTCAAAATACAGTCATGGTATATATGGCATATGGATTTTTTTGGTTTTTCAGTAGACTTTTAGAAATTTTTTTTCTATCCTCCTTCCAACAAACCAATAACATTAAGTGACCAGTAGATGGTAATTTTTTTCTTATTCTAGTTTTCTTATTCTAGCTCAAATCCTTTCAGAAACTGAACTTTATAGTTCAGAACTAGAATGATCAGTTTCAACATTATCTTCAAAATTACCTTAAATTTACCAAATAAACCTTTGCATTCAGCGTTTGAAATGTATTTAAATTTTTCAGTTCCATTTTCTTTCCATTTTAAAGGTGAACCAGAAATGCTTTATTCTCAGTAGGTTTTGAGCCTCTAGACTTCTACACCACCATATCACAGAAATACACCAAAACCTCTATTACTATTTTACAAAGAGAAATAGTGGAGACTGGAATAACTATGAGAGCAACTGAAAATAAAATCTTGACTTGTGGTAGGGAACTACTTGACTGCTATTACAACAACATAATCATCATAAAGAATGGACAGTAAAATCTTGACTGTGTTTTCATATAAACTAAGAATGGTACCCAGGTTAGATGGAGAACTGATTTAAATAATCATAAACCTTGATTTATGCACATAGTACATAGTTTTGAGTACCCAAAAATATAATCCTAAGGAAAGTAAGTAGATTGGAGTCCTTACAAGGTGTCCATTCCACAATCAGCTATAACTGTTTTGTGGACATTAATAGAGTTCAAGGAAGAATAGGAAGACAAAAGCTCCAATGAGAGCAAAATATGTAGAAAGAGAAATTAAGATCCCTGAAAAATGAGCTGCGAAAAATACTGTATTTCTACATCCTTTCTCATTTTGCTGATCAGTTGTGGTCAGCTCTTGGTGCTGAAGTTAGTGCAGAAGAGCTACCACATTTACACCAGGCTGCAGGTCCTCCAGGAAGCTAAAATTAAAACAAAAATTGGAAGTGGCATCACAGAAAAAGGCATTTTTTAATAGTTTTTAATTTATTTTTTCTTCAGCTCTACACCAACAAATTCAGTGACACAACTCCAGTTGATCAAGTCACGTTTCTGGATGTGGTAGTACGTAGCAGAGTAAAAGCACTCAGGATATCAAATAAAGATATTAGAAATTTCAAAATATTAAATATTTGAATTAACTTAAGTAAGCTTAAGTGTATAAATATATATATAAAATAAACTTTAAGCCATTTGAGACCATTTTACAGCACACTTTAAACTGTAATGCCTCCCAATCAAATAATTTGTGGTTGAATTGTAGACTTTCTTTCAGAAAGTTATCTTCTCTTAATTTCAGACCAAAAAAAATCTACTAGAAGAATGTTGGGAGTTTTATTTCGAAGACTATTACACTACTAAAAATTCTCTCCTCCAGTGTGATTCTGTTTAATTTTTTACTTTGGTTTATTAGACTCATTATGGCCACGTTCTGAAAGAAAGGAAAGGAATTACATTACCTTATGCCTTTCCCCATGTAAGTAATGAGAAAGTAGTATTAAATTGTCATTTGTCATTCTTATTTATATATACATATATATATATATAAATGTAAAGTATTTTTTCTGTTCCCTGATTCTCTCTTGTGACTCTGTGATGAATCACTTCCAAAGTTCCATAGTGTTTTCTGGATTAAGGAAAAAAAATCAAATTCCATTGGGATTTTTTTCTGAAAAATACAGCATCAGCCACCACAGTGTATCACAGTAGTTCTATATATATAGAAAAATATAGAAACTTATTTGAGTTTCTTAGAAAGTTATAGAAAATAGGATAATGATAACCTAGTCATGTCCCTCATCATAAAGTAGATTTTATTGTATGCATATAGCACATACTGCTGATGGAGTGAAACCATTAATAACTGTTTGGTATCAAGGTGTACCAAGGTGTATGTTGCGTCGTGTTACTTTGGACTGAAAACTAGAAGTATTTTTAATTTTTTTTAAGAAGAGCAGTGCTGTTAAATTCCAAGATCAGCTGTCACTGAAGAGTTTTCCAGGGCCAAAAGTAACATTAATCAGAGTTCATCTTCAGATGTAAAAAAAGTGTCTCAGAAATTACTTAATTAGTTTGAAGATATAAAGCAATGTAAAACTAATCCATATATAAACATTTTTTGACATGACAGTGACTTGCCGTGATTCACAGCCACTGTCTAAAACAGCAGCATAATCATAGCCTAAACCTTCAAGAGTTAGATTTGGAGAGCACATAAGAATGAAAAACAAAGCTTTTTTGTAATAAGTTCATGTATAGGTAAATATGTCTTCAATTTACTCAGCATATGTTTGACTGCAGTTAGGCAGATGAACTGGAATGAAACAACTAGAGGTTTTTCCCCATAATTCAGTCAGATTGAAGCAAAGTTGAGTCTTCCCTAAATGAAAAAATAGTTCAATAACTCTTTCAGTAGGTTTGTGTTACAACTTCCTAATAAACTATTACGTAAATGTTATGAGGACAAGCAACAACAAGTTAATTCTCATTAGCATCAGAGTTTTGCCCAAACATTTTTTATTTCCACAATTAAGATGGAATTCTTTACAAAAACTTTTCTTGTAGATTTTCATGTCTGTACAGCCTGGCAGAAAAGAAAACCAGGCAAAACTGAAAGAAGTTAACACCTCAGCAGTATCTGTCAAAGTTGAATGTTTTGAGATTCACTGTATGAAGACCCGATTTCCTCTAGTGGACATTATGTCTGACACCAGTAGTTTTCGTTATAAAATCCAAGTCAAAATGGTGTATTTCATGTACACATATATGCAAATGATTCTTTGCAGCTTGCACAAGTACAATTCTGCTGTACAGGTGACATATAGCACAGGATTGCGCGCAAGCCACGTGAATTCCTTTAGGATGTCCACCGGAGCATTTTGATCAAGCGGCTTATGTTTTGCACCATGCAGAACAAAAGATGCATCTACAGAGCAAGCCCATCTTGATCGATTTGAGGCCTATACCTCATCCCAGCATACTGAGATGACCTTGTCTTTTGGACAAAACAGGGCCAGTTTCTGAATTAAGAAGCAAAGAAGATCATAAACATTCTCTCCTAAAGGATCATTTTTTACCATCACATCTACATTTCTCTCTATGAATAATATAAAAACTATATCCAGAGAAGCAACAAAGACTGCAGAGAAATTCAAAAGATCTTATAGTGTCACAAAAAATACATCCCAGGAGGAGTAGTAGGGACAAAGAAAGTAATAACAAAAATATAATTACATGGCAGATGTAAGATGATGAACATAAAAAAGTCATTACACAAAATGACTGCTCACAATAGCAGAAGATTTATGTTTTCATGAGCTCCCTTTAGTCCCCATATAATGAATTTTACCTTAATTTAGTCAGGTAAGAGGAAGAAGTGCAAGTACTTCGTCTATTGGGTGGCCTATTTCTGAGTTTTAAGAGCACTAGTTCTTCTGCATGAGATGCATGCAGACTAGTAGCTAGATGACTGTACATTTTTTGTGTTCTGCTTTACAGAGAGATATCTGGAAGCAGAGCCACTACCATAGACTTCGACAATTGTCTAAAACAAGCTTATCTTTCTCCCTGTTTGAAACATGTTGGGAAATATACTCTGGGTTTGTTGGGTGCAGGGCGGGGGGGGGGGGGGGCATCTTTTACCATTAGTGGGGTTTTTTCCATTAAAAAGGAATAGACTTCAACGACACTTTTATATATTTCAATATGTATTCTAGCACAAATAGTTCCTTCAAGTAAGACACAAATAGCAGTGTACTGGTTTCAGCTGGGACAGAATGAATTTTCTTTTTTCTAAAAAAAAGGCTTTACAAAAACTTGGTTGGGATTTAGTATGAGAATAATGTTGATAACATACTGATATTTTAGTTATTGCCAAGTAGTGCTTACCTTAAGGTGAGGACTTTTCAGTTTCCTTTGCTCTGCTAGCCAGCAGGTGCACAAGAAACCATGACGGATCGCAGCCAGGACAGCTGACCCAAACTGGCCAAATGTCATGCCCAGTGTATTGGTACCCACTGATCACTGCTGGAGGATGGACATCCTTCAGTGAGGGCTAAGCAACTGCTTCACTTGCTGCCCTTGGTAACTTTCCCTCTCTCTTTTTGTTATCTCCCTTATTATCAACATTATTATTAGTAGCAGTTGTTGTTGTTGTAATTATTATAATATTTTACTTTATTTCAATTTTTAAACTTTTCTTATCTCAACCCATGAGTTTTACTGTTGTTTTTTTCCATTTCTCTTCCAAATCCCACTGGAAGGGGATGCAAGGGTAGTGAGAGAGCAACTGCATGGTATTTAGTTGCTGACAGGAATTAAAACATGACAGGCAGGCAAACACTGAGTCTTAAAACCACCATAGGGAGTCTCTCTGTATATCTTTCTGATGAGACAGAAGCAGCAGGATATATCATCTTGGATTTAGTGTTTGACAGACTAGTGTCTCTATCAGCAGTCTGAAGGCAGTAACACTGTTTGAAAAAATGCATGATCACTTAAAGGTTCTATTTACTCGTGAGTTGAAAGCTACTTCTAAGAAATCTAATAGTTCCAAAAATAAAGCAAGAGTGGCACAACAGTCAGTAGTCTAATTCAACAATTTCAGAAAATAACACAGCAACAACCAAAAAGATTCATTTTGATAATATAATAATAACCAACTCTTTCTTGTGTACCAACAAAATGAACTAAGTCCCTAATTGAATGATATGAACAAAGACTTCTTCTGTATAATCTGAAGAATAAGGAAACTCTCCAGCTTTGACATGAAATTATATGGAAGTGTCCTTTGCTCAGATTCAGCAGATAGTATTGCCAAGTGAGGAATCAACTGAAACTTGTAATGTGCTTCTTTTACATGTTATTTTATGAAAAGGTGAGGTTTACTTCACAAAGCAAAACTAAATAGTTGGTCCAGGTTTGACTATGGATTGAGTTCTGGACTGTGCAATGTCACAAAAAACATGTAAGCACAGGATCAAAGTTATCTCTGGTTTCAGCAACCACACATTTCAGTTTCAAGCTTCTAGGCTATCTATCACTCACTAAATATTTTCATTACTTGTTCATGGAAAAGGTGCTCTAGAAATCATTATAATTGCTTCAGTGATGTAGTGTCAACAGGGTCTTCTTCTACTCCTAGTTCATCCCTGTGGTGAAGAATCAGACCTTTCAATTATACTTTTTAACAATAGCTTTTGTATGCTTTGCTACTCTTTTCTAAATTTTTATTTCACTTGAAAGGCATGGTTGAATCTGCCTGATAGAGACTACTGCTACCCATTTGGGCTGTATTTCGCTGCCTGTAAACCTAACCCACCCTCTGTAACTTATTAGCTTAAGTATCTTTTTTCTTAAATACCTTTGTCTCATCTACACTGAGCAATTTCTTACTGATAAAAATGTAAGACTGAAAAATCCATTAATTGTTTCTAAAATGGGCTGCAAAACACAAATTATATTCCATTCAGTCTATAATTAAGACTTTATATTTTATTTTCTGCCTTTTTATCCCTGCAAATGTTTGATTTTTCCTGACTGTGTACTGAAAGAATCTTTTTCCTGTTTCATTCACATTGCCACACTGCATCTGTTTTGTCCAACAAACCTTTGTTAATCAACCATTAGACAAAAATTTGGAAATTTGTATCAACTTTTAAAGTTGAGATCATTGTGCATACTTGTATAAATTTAATTCAAGAAGCCTATGTCCCTTTTACAATGAATAATTTTAATTTTTCAGTTTAAAACTAGTAATCAGCTTCTATGGCTGAGAGCTAGCTTATTCCTTTGACGTTGGCTAGTAAGGATCCTTGGAACACAAATATATGCAATAAGCCAGTAATTCTGCCTGCCTTTCTGATGCTCTTGAGGGTATCTCAGTTCTGGCAAACAGACGGGTAATGGGAATTAGAAGGAGGGGGGGAAAACAGCAATAAAAAGATAAATCACAAAAGGAAGGAAATCCATTTGGGCCTTGGCAGCAAAGACACCGCTCAGCTAATCCATGCTGAGTGCAATCCAATACTCCTTTATATAATCCTGTTCTTGTGGAAGAAAATTAAAGTTTAATGCAATAAAGGCTGACACAAATCACTTTTGTTGCCCAGGAGCAGATTAAAGAATAGTTAAAATCATACAAATCTGATTTATTTTCTGTTGGTTTTGCTTTCTTTTATCCAGTGACATATTTATTTTTTAAATCACAGCATCAGTTTTTGATTATTAAACATATATTCCAAATTATAGAGAGATTTTGTGATGGAAAGAAGAGGAAAGAAAATAGTGACAGCCAAGAAATGATTAGTTCTTAAATGGTACATGTTAAAGCTCTTTCAAAGTTCTACAAATTTTTCATCTTTCATATACGTCCTTGCCTTTAATCAGTCTGTGTCAAGGGGTCTTTAAAATAAGCATAAAGAAAGTAGAGTTTTATCATTCACTGGATCTGTACAGGTCACTCCCATCTCTCTTGTATACATCTGCATTTGTTGTTCTGTGACACAGTAGAGATCTGCCAACAATGGAACAAACTGAGAATTTCTGCAAGAGAGACAACAATGTAAGAGGGCGGTAACCCTAATATTCCATTTTATTACTCCGGCCCTCAGCCTCAACATACTCTTCATCAGTAAGTTGAACTGGAAAGAATAAAACAAAATAAGATGAAAACAGACCCTGGGCATATTGTGCTCCATATGATACATTTTTTCATGGCAGATAAGGTTTTAATTTATCTGAAATACTGATCAGACTTATGATTGCATTGAAATAGGATCAGGTTTTTAATTTTCTTTGCCTTCATCCCAGCTCCAACATATCCTCTCTCACAAATTCCTTTGAGTAATTTCCCTGCTACTCTTCATATTGGTGATACAACATAACTATGCAGACCTAAGTGGAGAGAATGCTGGAGTCATTGTACAGCTATCATTTTTCCCAGTAGAGCTATCAAAATATTACCCAAGGCACTTGAGAAGTTTGTGAAATACAATATGGAAGTGGAAAGGTTGCATAATTTCTCCAGTATTTCACTTCTTCACACATATTTTTTCAGCAATATCTTAAGGGATTCTCCAGAACAGGTTTTTGAGCAAGCTATTTGCCCTGGAAATGCCACTTAGTCAGGAAGAACAGAAAGGAAATAAATCACCAAAAAAACCCAAAATCTGATATCCTAGGAGAATTCTATAGGAAGAAAATAAAATTTGTAGGGTTTTATTGTTTTTCAGTGATACCCAGACAACTCTTTGATGGAAACTATTTCATATCATCTCAACATCTTTTCTTACCTGTTCTTACCTGTGGTAAGATATTAGGCCATTGGCAATTGCACCAGATAGGCCACAATAAAAAGGCATTTAAGAATGATCTCCTTCCTGAATTTCAACATGCATGCCTATTTAAAACTGGGAGTTTTTGTTTTTGTTTTTGTTTTTTAATCCATCTTGAAATTGGACATATTTCTGGTTTCTTTTCTTTCTTTTCTTTAAAGTACTGCTTACCATTTATTTGACAAGTAGAAGCAAGTCAATAAATAGTATATGGCAAGATTTGTATAAAGTTATAGGTCCCAACAACCAAGTTTTAGTTAGAGACAATGTACTTTAAAAGACTAGAATATTTCCAGTAGAGAAAATGCAAGAGTCTCATTTTCTCTCTTTACCTCTTTTGTACATATGTGAAGAACACCACAACAACATATTTTATTACCCTATCATATTGTGATCTACTCTAGTTGTATGGGATCAGTCAGCAGCAGCAAAACTCAGTCGCTGGTCTCTGGAGAGCCATTTGATCTGCAGGTCAAGCCCTGCTTTCCCAGACCACATATATTGGTTTCCTGTTGGAAAAGTATTAAATGCAGTGCAGAAGTGGCGAATGGGGGATGAGGGTGTGTGTTTACATCTAAGTGTGTGTCTGTGTATATGTGTTTTCTAATCCTTTTGCAGCTTGCTAGCCTGAAACTGCAAATGTCATCATCATGAAGGCAGCAGTTGAATCGAACAGGTGCTGTAATAAACCATGACATTTCTAACAGGTTTAATTGTAGGGGGTGCACTGGGATACTTTTCAGTACAAACATGGTTTCATTTGATGTCAGCATCAAGACCACAGACATAGCTTTTATTCCGTATCCACATGAAGTAGGGTGTAAAGTTCCCACCTCCAATGCACTTTATGACCTTTCAGGTGTGTAAACCTCTAACCTATATCATTCTCATCTTTGCTGTTCCAGCTGCCACATGGTGACAACCTGCTAGACTCTGTGTCTGGTCTAATGGTGATTTAATGGGTAGTAGAATTAAAGCATTAGCATGGTATTCCTGTCTACTCAACCCTAAAGGGCTTTTTGGTGGTTGTAGGAGAGGCTCCCTGGAGGAAATTGCAATATACAGGGATTTGCTGTGAGCCTATTGCCGCCTAGTGCCAAGACAGTTCATAAATTTATATCTATGACATTTATGCTCCAGTTTTTTTCATTATAACTCTTCCTTATGAGAATTTAGTAGCTGCATTCCTCTATAAAAGGCTGGGCTGCTACCGAAGAGCAAGACAAAGCCTTTATTTCACTTACAAT